GAGCGACGCAGTACCGTCGGATGAGGAGCGCGAGCACCTGCCAGCGAAGAGGCGTAAGGTGCTGCCTTACGCCTGCGACCCGTCCGCGACGTCGGACAGTAATGAAACTTCAACGGAGCCAGCAGCGGAGTCCTCGCCAGACGCTCTGCCGCGAAGTGACAGGCGGCGGCTACTCAACACACGCTGGTAAGAACACGCGCACATGGCGCAGCGTATGTCTTGCATAGGCCCGGGAGAGCGATTGTTTTGGGGTTGCGCGAAGTTGACTTGCAGCCTCGAAGAACCGATTGTTTTGGGGTTGCGCGAAGTTGACTTGTAGCCTCGAAGAACCGATGATAAATGGGGTTTTATATATTATGTTATCAGGTGTACTAGTGACTGACATGCTCTTGGTATCGCCGAGCGGCGGCGAGTAAGCTCCAACCTGAACTTATCGGCTCCATCGTTTGGGCTACAGAAAGATGCGCCTCCTTTTGCTAGAAACTGTCAGTGCTAAGGCAGGGGCTACCCGTGCACCTGTCCCGCGAAGGCGCGTTAGAAATTGAAGATGCATCAGCTGCGTGCGGGCTTGAACCTGCACGTAGTGCCGATACACCGTCGAAGTACTCACGTGCGCGCTGTACGTTTTTTTTTTGTTGTTTTTTTTTATTATGCACGTGTTTGCGCAATGCTGGGCCCCAGGTTGGGCACTCAGGCCTTTGTGGCATGGGCAGCACTGCTTTTTTGCGGCCCTCTATGCCTGGGTCAAAGATTCCGGAATATGAATAAAGTATTACTATATTATTATACGCAAAAATGTAGCTGCTGTATAGTGACTGCATCGTGGTTGTGGATACTCCCAAAAGGCATCTGAGGCTTGAGCAGTGTTTGGGTGACACAATTGGATTGAGAAAAGAAAGAGGCAAAGTGTGTAGCCACACCAGTGCCCACACAGCATTACAGAAATGTTGACATATGCACTAATTCGTGTTTCTACCTTTGGGAAACAGGTGCTGCTGCGAATCCCGGTGTGGCACCATGTCCACACCAGCAGAAAGTGTGTGCTGCAAGGAGCAGTGCAAGGTCAAAGAGAAGGCTGGGAGCCTTCCCTGCATCACGGCACACAGGCTCTTCGAGCTGTACTGCCTGGACAGGGATATCCTGGACCTAGAGTACAGGAAGCTGAGAGTCTGCCGGCCTCTCAGCACAAGAAACATAAAGGAGATAAATGCGTACGTACAGTGAAACTAAATTACTATACTTTTTTACTATCATGTGCACCGCTTTGTAAATAAAGGGAGGATGCAAAGCGAGATTTGCATTAGATGATCCAGAAAAGGCAGTGCCTCAATGTTGGCAATTGAAGTTTCCGACACAGGCAGGTTTTTATTGGTGGCCTGAAAAACATACCCAAAATTTAGAAGCAAACCATTCATTACATGCTTGCTCGCTCGAATATGCATGTTTTAATGAAACTACAGCTTGTGGTGTCTTGCTGCTGGCCATCGAACTAAAAACAATGAATGCCTTCTAGTTCCAAGTGGATACCTGGCAGTGTAACTAAATAACTTTATTATGTTATCATTGCAGTAAGTACAGGTACACGGCATACTGCCAATTTGTTTGGTGGATACACGGAAGGCTCGGAAAGGAGAACCGGGTCACCTTGCCCAGCTGCGTGGTGACCAGGGTCCGCAAAGAGTTCCCTGCCCCGAACCCTGCAGACTACACGGGCTTCAAGCAGTCAAAGTGCTGAGTAAGTTTGCATGCTATCTACCTTCAAACCTCCTAAATATGTATCTTTTCCTACCAAGCACTTGGGAGCAACAGCTTGCACGAGCAGTACATAATTAATGTTAGAATGAAGAGATCAATATTTGACATATAAGAAACTCACTGTTTATTGCAAACTAACCAATTTTTTACTTTACAAACAATGTGTAACAACGATCACAGACTGGAGACGAGGAAATGGGCCAGAGACGTTTTGAAAAGGAGCTCATGGCAAGGAGCTAGTGGCCTGGGAGCGCATGGCCCAGGGCTTGTGCTCGGAACACATGAGATTGACACGTCAGATCGAACTGCTTTGTTGCTTGTGCATAGTGTAAATAAATGTTTGCATCAACGTAACCAACAATGACCACCAGAAGTTCATGCATTTTGTGCGGAAACCCGCTACGTAACGATTCGACGAAGGGAATCTGGTAGACCGAAGCAATACCTATCGAACGACAGAAGCAACGTTCCATCGAGACAAGACTGAAAGGTCATGGACATCCTCAAGAAGAAACGGAAGACTCTGCAAACACAAGTAACTAAACTCCTCAGCGAGGCAAAAGAATTATTTCAGCTGACTCCAGCAGTCATCGATGACCTAGAGATTTTGATTGAGTGCATAAGCCTCTCTCGGGATCAACTCGGCCACGTAGATGCCGCGATCGAGCCTTTGATTACCGAAAGAGACGTGAAAATGGAGTTCACGCAAATCATAGATTATACTGACAAGATTGTCACATGCCTCACGAAGCTCAGAAAGAAGGCGAAGGGCGTGGAGAACAGCCAACGAGCAAGTGGTCCCTCGAACGATTGGAGAGCAACAGCCGTAGAAAGTCAAGCTTCCAAAATTAGAATTTATCAAGTTCAACGGCAACCGGAAGACTTGGCAAGCATTCTGGGAGTGAAACCACAATCCACGAGAATCTGGAACTGACTCCATCGAAAAAGTTCAATTACCTGAGATCAGCGCTTACCGGAGATGGATCAGCTGCCATCCGAAACTACAGCCAACCGCTCAATGCTATGCGGACGCGATCGACCTTCAACAGCAGCGGTTCGGCAAGCAAGAGACTCTGGTACACAACCACATGGAAAGTCTGATGGACATCCAGAAGGTACCACTACAGGGCAATGCCCGAACCCTGCGTCGTTTGTACGACAGTCTTCAGGCGCACATCTGGGGACTTGGAGTACTGGGTGTGGGCGAGGAATCCTACTGCGCCATGCTCTACTCGCTCCTACTGCGAGCACTACCGAAGGACATGTCCCTGGATTACAACCGGAAGATGTCGTTGGAGGACACCAAGAACGCCACCGCAGTGACGGGCACCAGTCCCGAGTCTCCAACAGAGAATGTTCATCTAAGAGCTCTACAGACTCTACTCAAATTTATTCGAGTTGAAGTCGAGAGCTGGGAAAGGACGTCAGAGGAACAAGAGGACGACTTTGGCGGTAAGCCTGCAATTCGTTTCCCTAAACAAGAACTGCCGAAGAAACTTTCAAACTACACAAACCTTCGAAACTCTACCGCAGCGGCCTTGTATGGCAAGACTGAAGGCTTAGAGTGTTAGTTCTGCAAATCCGAAGAACACGCCACACCTGACTGCAACGCCAATATTGAGCTCACTGAGAAAAAAAAAACAAAGATTACAGGCTGGCAACAGATGCTTTCGTTGCACAAAAGCAAACCACACGGCGAGAATGTGCCGAAGCACGCCGTGTTGCACCAGGTGTCAAGGATGGCATGCGCCTACTATGTGTGACCCGGATTACGTACTGGAACGACTTTTCGCGGTGAATAAAACAGAAAGCGAAGATAAAACACCGGTCAGTCTTCAGATCAATGGAAAGAACTGCAAGCCAGCAGTGTTCTTGCAGACGGTGACCGCATGGGCCGAGAACAAAAACAAAAGAAGACTATCCCGAATTCTTTTTGACAGCAGCAGTCAACGTTCCTTCATTACGGAGGAGCTGTCCCAGAGACTTGGTTGCAAACAACTCGGGATGGAGATCCTCACGTTCGGCGTGTTCAGAGGCGAAAGCACCGAACGTATGTTTCGCAGGGTGCAGCTTACTTTGCGGGACCAACGGTACTACAAAAAATATGAAATCGACATGCTAGAAACACCTACCATCTGCGAACAAAATCTCCCGAGCCCAGATTAATCCATCGCCGCGACATTAAAGGAGCTCGGTTGCTTAGTAGGAGTTGCCATGACCGGACTGGAACATCGGGGCATCGATATCCTGCTTGGCCCGGATCACTACTGGGAGTACATCATTGGAAAGATTCACCGACAGAGGAAGCTTGACTGCAGTGCAGCCCGTATTCGGATGGGCGGTTCAGGGACGAAAAGGGTCAAGCTCCCCGGTTATTAGTTGCTCCAGGGTGGTCATGCGGAGAACGGCGGTCCAAGAGCCCGAACCCATGCCAAGCCTCAAGCAATTCTGGGAACTTCAGAGGATGGGTGTCATCGACGCATCGGTGGACGATCCTTCGGACAACGATGTCATGCGAGACTCCGAAACTATGATCGCCAAGACCTATGGGAGGTGCGAAGTCGGCCTTCCATAGAGGGCAGACATCAGGTTGGCAAATGACAAGGTTGCTGGAATGCCACAGAAGAACTGCAATGTGTGACATGGCACCACCTGCCGGGAAAGGAGAACCCCGCCGACCTCATGTCACGAGGTCTGACCACCTTGGATTGGTCTCCACTCCACTCTGTTGTTCGGGGACCAGTTGGTTGCCGCTGCCAGCTAAAGAATGGCCCAAGGAGAAGCGCGAGGAGCCACCTCGATATAAGCTCGAGGAGAGGGGACCGAGAGCTGACATATTGGACATTTCAACACCATCTGCAACGTTGCTTGATGTCACCGCATTCAGCTCAGCTTCAAAACTCAACAGAACAAGAGTGTGGATGTTTCGATTCCTTCACAACGTTAGGTCAACGGGAAAACAATCGGGGCCTCTGACTGCAGAGGAAATCCAAGGAGCGCGGACATATTGGCTAAAAGCTAATATCGGCGTTTGCCGCCAAGCTTCGACGTGCGACCAGCAGAACCGAGACCCCATCCACTTCTCCTCTTCGAGACTTCAGTAGTTTCATCAACCAAGAGGTAGTGCTTCGCATAAGAGGGCGACTCCGATCGAACAACATGACATACGATGAACGAAACCCTATCGTACTACTGAAAGAGCATCGATATTCCACGGTACTTGTGATCGACGCTCACAGGATGGTGTTACACGCAGGAGCAAGACACACTCCAGTCCAGCTCCGCGAGAGGTATTGGATCCTTCGGGGTACGAGAGCTGGTGAAGAAGATGCTGCGCTGTGTGTAACGTGCCAGCGATTTAGTGCTATTCCGGCGAGTGCTCCAGTGCTCCAGCGGGACCTCTGCTGCGTACGAGAACGACGCAGGCTGAACCTTTCGAGGTAGTTGGTGTAGATTTTGCAGGACTGCTGTACATACAGGCAAAGGACGTCGTACATCACGCTGTTCACTTGTCCAGTGGCGCGGGTGGTCCACTTGGAGCTCGTACCAGACGTTTCAACGAGAAGTTTTCTTGTAGCTGCCCGTAAGTTTGTGTCATGGAGGGGACTTTGCCGCATCATCTACTCAAACAATGCGCTAACCTTCAAGCGAGCCTCCAGAGACCTGGCAGAACTTCGGAAGATCCTACGACACTCAGAAGTGGTGAATCACTTCGCCAATGCAACCATCGAGGGGAGTTTTATTGTTGAGCGTGCTCCTTGGTGGGGAGGATTCTACGAGCGACTGGTTTGATACGTGAAGGTGGGACTAAGAAAAGTGATCGGGAGAAAAACTATGAACGCAGCAGAAGAGTTGTCCACAGTCCTATGCGAAATTGAGGCGATGCTAAATTCTTGTCCCCCAACATTCGTTTACAATGAGCTTGACGAAGGCCAGCCGCTCACACCGACTAGCTTTTTCAGGGGAGGACGACTGACAGCACTTCCAGTGGCTGAAAGAGAAGACTTTGCGTCGTCTCCAGAGATGCTCCGAGAAATATGGAAACAAAGGAAAGCATTCTTTAACAGACTCTGGGTAACGGGAGGTCAGACTACCCGAGAGAACTTCGATCTGCCCTTGAAACAAAAGGCCAGCAATCGCCACGTCTGGAGGTGGGCGGGCTCGTCCTTCTGAAGGAACAGCTCCCACGTTTACTCCGGAAGATAGGAAGAGTTGAAAAGGTTTTCTGTGGGCGAGACGGCAGGATTTGTGCGTGTATAGTGCGCCCGGACAGGGGCAGTCTTCTGAAAAGACCAACTTCTCTATCCGCTAGAGATAACAAATTTAAAATGGGGTAACACCCATTCGGTGGGGAGTCTGTACCAACAATCGGAGACCTAAGACGAGAAAATGGGCCACAGACGTTTTGAAAAGGAGCTCGTGGCAAGGGGCTGGCGACCGGGGGCTCGTGCTCGGAACAGATGCGATTGACACGTCAGATCGAACTGCTTTGCTGCTTGTGCATAGTGTAAATAAATGTTTCAAGTTCCTGCACAATGTACTGTCAGGGAAAAATGATATGCAAACAGAGGAGCGCGTGGCTTGCGGTACAGGTTGCGCTGCCTGGAAGTGAGCCTAGGGGCGAAGGTGCGTGGCCTACTCCGATATGTTTATGCTCTCCGCTTGGCGCTCCCTAAGCTTCATCAGTGCGTCTCTTAGTGCACTGAAAGCTACCACCTCTATCTTTGCTCGCTCCGAGAGAGTGCGCGCTTTAGCTGCTACAAGCAGCAAGCTTCCTTGTGCCGCATGCGCCGAGTGAGCAAAGATAGTGGTGATAGCTTTCAGTGCACTAAGAGGCGCACTGCTGAAGCTTGGGGAGTGCCGAGCGAAGGGCGTAAACTCATCGGGTAGGCCATGCACCCTCGCCCCTAGGCTCGCTTCCAGGCGGCGCAGCTTGTACCGCAAGCCACGCGCTCTTCTGTTCGCATTTGATTTTTCCCCGACAGTACATGTTCCTTCAGCTTCAGCTTAGCAGTTGAACCGGGAACGGTGGTTAGAGATGAGCAGGTCCTTGTTGGGGCGTTCATATCCACTGGACAGAGTTGGGGGAGCCTCGACACAGTTGGCCTTTCGTGCAGCTCGGTACGACGGGTAGTGGCAATTGAGGGCAAGGGTTTCCTTCATGAGCTCTTGTACATAGGCTGAAATTAAGACTAGATGTTAGAAGCTGGTAGTTGTACTCGTTTTGACATCTTACCGTATGTGCAGGGCCCTTTCATGGGAGATGCAATCGGCCTCTTTGTTTGTTTAGGCCGCTTGACCAGGAACCTTTTTTTGCCTTCCTTAGTAGTCGCCTGTGGCCTGTCGCTGTTTTCGTTGAAATGCAGCGCTGCCACAAAGACTCTGAAAAGTGAAGACTTTAGCGGGCACATGCAAACAATTGGTTAGCTTGCATACCTTGCCTGCATGCTCTCGTAACCGAAGTGTGTCGACTTCGGTGCGAACTGGTTCACAGTGCTGTGAAAGCACTCAGTTGCATAGGTTTGCGCTGAGGTTGAGAGCTGCGGGATGTCCTTCAGCAGTGGCTTTGACAGCACGATGCTCTTTAGCTTGTCGTGTGCCTGAAGTCCTGGATAAAGTAGGACACTTGTATTACAGACTGTGTGGTTTCAAATCTGCTATTACAACAATAACACTAAGGCTCATAAGAAAAAGTAGTAGTTTTGTGTAATTAAATTAAAAATATATGATATCCAGAGGTTAATAAAAGGGTTAGAGCTGATGAGAACAGATTAAATTGGGTAAGTTTAATAGGCTGCTACCAGTCCTGCTTACTGCCTGTGTTTATGATGCCTAGATTTTTTTATCGAATAGACCAAGCGATGCCGATTTTAATTTTGCAAAGGCATGATGCACCAAATCGTCATGCTTGGTTGACTCGTGTGCCCGAACATGTAAGTACAGGTCCCAGCGGTCCGTATAAACACCGCGCGGTAACGATGCACGCGGAAGAAAGCTGAAGCTACCACCTATCGGCTCACTCCCCTCTACCAGCAGTCATAGGTTCTTCCCTGGCTGCCACACGGACTAACCAGTATAGAGAGCCAGTAAACTTGCCACATTCATAATCAGACACCTTGAAACTAAGAACCAGTACAACAACTTGGTTGAAATTGTTAAAGAATTCAACCTGAGGCCAATTCAAAAGTTTTATGTGTGAGCAAATTGCGGTTCCACTAGAAAAGGCACACCAGGGCCCGTTTGCTTGAAGCGCTAACTATGGCTACAAGTTGACTGCAGTACCTAGGCGAGGGATTTTGAAATCACGCGACTGGCTCGGTAGAGATGCGGGGAAACATGGCAGTGCCCCGGTGAGTTAGCGCTGCTCGATTTGGAACTAATATGTCGTTGTAGCTGCAGTATCGGGTGCGTTAATCAGCAACGAATGGTGCAGGAGCCTTCACTTTGCCTTACCTCACTTAAATCGCAAAGCATGAGCAATGACCTTGCCACATTTTTTAGTCTTTCCATTCTGGCCATTTCTAAGCCTAAATGAATGCGATAATTGTCAGCATGGCAACGTCTTTGGAAAACGGATTGCCTTGACTGAATCGGCCGGGTATTCATACCACACAAAAGCAGACAGCGTCGCAGCAGACCTTTTTCTAAATACCCAAGCATTGAGGAGAACGCTGAAAGTGTAATTCTATGGTCCACGAGCGCTGGTCTTCCTCTTATAAACGATTCAATGTAAATAATCATAAGGCTTTGACAAGCATGCGTGCAAGGCAAAATTTGTTTTAGACTTGTGGGCAGACCAGCATGTCTGCCCACATCTCATTGCGCAATGTGTGGCACTGCTATCGGCCGGACCTGTTTGTTTGCAAACATGAGTTGGTGTATACTTCACAGCATCACTTGGTATGAAACACTAACATGTCAACACTGTTAATATGCTGTGGTCTACTTGCCCTCAGGAAGCCACTTTTTCTTCCCCAGGTCTCCGTGCCGGCACCTTGGATACAGGGGGTCGGCATGTTCGTGCAAGTCAGCCACGTGTCCCACCAGGGAAGTCCACTTAGGAAGGATCTCCTCTGGCGCTCCATCGCTGGATTCCGCACACCAATAGAGGTGCTTGACAGTTGCCTGCACCCAGTCTTGGAGTCCCACAAGGGATTTGAGTTTCCCAGCTGAGACCATGCGTTTCTTGATGCCTGAAAAATGAAGCATTGTATTCATTCTGCTAAGCACCAAGCTTACATTGCCAGAAACAACAGCTTGACAAAATAAAGAGTTCATAATTATGAACACCAAAAACAAGAAAAACCCAATCCTGCCCCATTTTCTCAAGTATAAAAAAAACATGGCGATACCTCACTCTAGGACACTTTACTTTTTAGACGCTTTCGTCGAGTGTAAAGTTTGTGCCTGCTGTCTTCGTAGCTGCGCAAATAGTTACGGGACGGAAGAAACATCAAAACCCAAGCAGTTTGGGCTCCAAGTCGGCATGCGCATGGCCTGGTGAGCGAGATCGTTCCCAACCGCTCTGGGGACGCCATCTCGCCCAACCTTGCCAACCGCGACCGGACCCTGAGGCCGAAAGGCTCTGGCACAGCCAGGAACGGCACGGAGGTTGGAGCTCCTCTTTCTGCCTAGCATGCAGTGCTCAGAGCTATCGGCGTCTGTCCTTGCACTGAAGGCTCTAGGGACTCCTTCGGACACGAAGGTCCTATTTCGCGAGGCCTGGACAAGGGCCGCTTTACCGAGCAGATTTGCTATATGTCGCTCACATAGTTTGACAATAAAAGCTTGCGGTTCTTCTCTGGAGAAAATATTGCGGGCGACCACACGGACTGCTCTCCGCCGCCGCCGAGGGTGGCTGCCGCCATGTTCTCAGCTGTTCGCTTGCTCCCAGAGCGGGTGCCTTCCCATAATCCTCCCCGATCCAAATTGCGATGGAACCTCCATTTACATGTTTTGAATAAATGTGCATTCGCCATCTCAATCCACCTCTGTCTAGCGACTTGAATGCGATGCGCTCTCCCTACTGTATTGTTTGTTTACATCACCGCATTGAATGCGACAACTGGATTCGATGCGACTAAGCCGCATTCATGTAAACACGGCTTATGTTTCAGCTTATATTGTACTGCAGCGAAAACTAGAAGCGCAAGCTCATGGCCTTGGCAGCTGCTCCTGCTGCACGAGAGCTTGTGCCGCCGAGCAGTTGCCATACAGCAAGGAGCTCCCGCTTGTAGCCTTTCCTGCAGTGCAACATACGCAGAAACAAAGTATAGTGACAGGCAAGGGTAGGAGTGTTCTGCAATTAAATGTTTTTTTTGTTTTTGCATAACCTGGAACCCCGATTACTTATGGCTCACCTTTTGCAACGTGCCAGCAGTCGAACATGTGCCGAATCTGGGGGTACCACTTGGCAAGGAATGACTTGATCATGGAGTGGCGATCAGTGATGATTCCTCCCACAGTCAATCCATTGGCTTCACAAATCAGTAGAGTCCTTTTCAGGCCCTCGAGCTCCATTGCCCAGCTGCCCTTCGTTTCGTTGGACTGAAGTGACAAATAAAACATTGCATTATCACACCGAACATGAAGTACCCAAAACGAAGTCAACTAGAGCTGTTGAATGAGACAACCCATGTCTGAAACAAGTTGTTTTCGCCATTCATTTTCAATTAATTACAGAAAGGTTTCATTCCAGAAGAACAGAAGCATCAGAACATTTATAGCAGGGGAAATTTACCTGCACTGTTTCCACATGGAGAACCTTCTTCGTTGACACGTCGACGACGGTGTACGTTCCATATTTTGCTGAGTGCCCGGGGGAGTCTGACCGCCCATCACCAGCGAGGACCAGTTCTCGTCCACTTGCTTGCTCGAAGAGCTCGTTTTGTTTCCTGTTCCACACCTGGAAGTTTATTTGCAAAGACTTTTGTAAACAAACATAAATCCTGAACATGCTTTTCATTTCACCTATAAGTATACTGCAAGCTTCTTTTCTTTATGTGAACGTCCATGGAAGTTCAGCATTTAAGTTTGAATCCCAGTAAATGCGATCAAAGCATTGACAAATTGTAATTCGTCTTTCTTTCTTTTCAAAATGAGGGGATGAAATGCTCCGAGTCGTGAGTATAAATATTGAAGGCACATATGCACTACTAGGTAGATTGGCAAAACACTTTTTTACTTTCTATTATCTATGCAAGGGCTAGTTGATGAATAGCTTTTGACATTTTCCGTATTGAAACTCAAGAAGCATAGTTTTGCACTTATTTAGGTCGCATACACCCCTGCCTGCTCAGGTCTTGTTCCCCTCGTAGCAATCAACAAGGACAGTTTGGCTGCCGAGGAGCCGCCTTCTCAAGAGCGGGCTCGTTTTTTTAACCTTGAAGAAATGCCACCCCGTATAAAAAATAGAGTACTCGCCGATTAATCTTTACGATCGGCCTGGGAAACATTTATTTTTGATTCTTTTACTTATTCCCCAAATCAAAATCTGCCCTTTACACTGTACACTTATCCAGTAGGTGCAATCAGTCACGAAGCAGGAGAATAAGAACTAATTAAAAACGTTGCCTCCACGTTTAGAGCTTGAAGTATGTGCCATGAACCCTGTATATACTTGCTTTGCCCACACAGTTGGTACCTTTCCACCCCAGGAGTGTGGTAAAAATAGGTGCAGAGGAACAGAGGACATCTCAGCTCTCCCTATTTACAATATTTTCCAGCACATAAGTTGTTTCTTTCCTCAAATTCCTGTCACTGCATCTTACACAGAGGTGCGACTTACACCGCTTTTTTTTGCAAGTATAAGCCATAGCTGTGCAAGGCCGTATCAAAGTTACAACAAAGGAGAATCGGCAGAGCCTGTAGTTTGTATGGCATCGCACAGACCTAGATCCATTAGATGTAGCCTCGGGTGCTGCAGTGTATTGAATCGTACAGACCTAGATCCATTAGATGTGGCCTTCGGGTCGGCGGATCAGCTTTTCCTTACAATTGGAACCTTGGCAATATGCCGGCTTCCAGGAGAGCTTACAGCCGGCCATATCAGAACAAATTTCCCACGGTAGTTCGCAAGAACATTGAAGCTGGCTCTTACTTGTGCTTATATTACAATATACATATGACAGCTTATCAATGCAGTTTTGCCTTGCAGCCCGTATAAAGATGTGCCACCTATAGACGTTTGCAAGTACGGCCTCGGGGCGCCGCCACCTTGCCCAGTTGGAGTGCACTTGGGCGCATTAAATTCGATTACGATGCCTCACTAAGGTGTCGTAATCAGACTGGCCGCGCCCAAGCACAACCCAACTCGGCAAGATGGAGGCACCCTGAAGACGCACTTGCAAACATGTATATATCAAGCTTTTTGTAAAAACAGCCGTTTATAGGAGCGTGTGACTTGTAGACAGAAACATATGGTGCTTCCTACGCATGTACTACACCATTCAGGATCCCATAGGAGTGCTGAGCCTGAAATATTGGCACCTAAAATACACCTCTCACAGGAAAGGAAAAGCTTGAAAACGTGCCATACCTGTCTGATCGCTGGTAGAAGGAAGGCACCCTGAATCTTAAAGTATGTCTCGTACGATAAACAGGGCACGCCCATCTGGTGGAGGAGCCTTAGCACTTTTTTGACGATGCTCCCAGAGAAGAGCGTTGCTGCAGCTAGGAGCACATCGCCCAGGGCCCTCCTATTCACTGATGGTTGGCTGGTCCAGGTGTGTTGGTGGCCATTGTTGCACATTCTGTGCACCCGGAGACATGTCCCTCTGATCTTCTTCTCTGTGATGCGGCACAGTGCAGTGCACTCGGGACAATTACCTAGTAGCTCGTCCAAACAAGACTCGAAAACAATAAACTTTCGTTCCGAGACGTAGTCGATGCTTTTGCTGCTCTCATGCTGACTGAGTGCGCTGTCAGATGCAGTGTTCTGCTGTGCATCCCTGGAATAAAAAAAGAAAAGAAAAAAGCAACCTCTTACACACCCTCTCATACTCGTCACTAAAGATGACATATATCCGACTGATACCAACCTCAGAAAGCCGGTGTCGGACATCATCATGAGGAAGCTAGCGTCAGAGGGGAGGTATAGGCTGTCTGCTTCCACGTGTGGCTCTGGCAGCTCCGTGGGACACTCTTCAACAGACTCTTCCTGGCCTGCACTGGGCAGCTCATTGTTTATTGTTGGCAGCTGTGGTGGGTCCGGTGGTGGAGCTGGTTGTCTGCGCACTGGCGGCTGCGGCGACAGAGTCAGCCCTTCAGGCAACATCCAATCCAATGGAGCCTGGGGGACATGATTTGGTGAGGAGCATCGTGGTGTCACGAGGACAGGATTCGTTTGGGACTTTCGTGATGAAGTCTTCAAGGTGACTTGTATGCCTGTGCCATCATAACGTGTTACAACGATCTGAACAATGCTGCCTTCTGTGAAATTTCTTCTTGCAGATACATACCTCGATTTCTGTAGATGCCCGAGGTCTACGTAGCAGCGTTCCGAAGGTCAGGTTGAGCCTGTTTGGCATTACTGATGGAGGGGGCTGTTCACAGCAGAGGAAATAAAGTGTCTTTCAAAACAAAATCATCCTTGGCTCATGTAATCAGCAATAGGCTAGATTACCCTAATTTGGCAGAATTCAGTACTAAAATATGTCAGCCGAGTAGTTTCAATTGGCGCACATACCTGAGCTCGAACAAGGTTCTTCGATGCCAGCATTTGCATCATGCATTGGTTCATGTCCAGAGTCAGGAGCTTGCTCAGTGTCGTCACCAGAAGGGGTTGACGATGTGCTGACTTCTTCAGCGATGAGTGTGGCCTTTGCTTGTGCCGGTGCCTCCAGCAATTCAGCAATTATCTATAAATGATAGGCATAAAAACTTACAACATGCAAACAAACACACTGTCAATATGCTGCTAACACCCAGGTTCTGCTCAAATGAGGGTGACTGGCCCAAGCCCTTATCTTCGTTAGGCTCATGTCACTCTGTGTACCCTCCTCATCTTGACTTTGCTTGAACTGGTAAGCAAATCACACCGTCAAGTGCACAGTCATGAACACTAAGATGAAACGGTCGAATGACGACCGAGGTTAATTAGTGGCCTTGCCTCGAGTCGAGAAATTGAACAACACTTGTAATAACCTCTTGATTGGGGTGCAATTGTCATAAATGGCCAGCTGGTGTTCTTAGTGAACTTTATAAATAAACACCACATTCCGCGAGATTAAGACAGAGTAACTCAGCAAAAGATTTCGCAGTGTTTATTTTTGTTCTAAATTGGCACGCGTTTAGCAGCATCTATTTTTGGCACTAGAATTGATTTTTGCTGCAATTTAATTCCATACACCACCAGGTTTTTAGGCATTCTCAGCACTTGTCGACGTGAAGCATTACTGCGAGCATGTATTCAATGTATGGGAAGAACATAGACGAAACAAGATCTTATAAACCGGCACACTGTTTACAAAAAAGCCTGCATTTGCCCACACCAGGTGTGGGGACTGTGCGAACGCAGAAACCGAATTCACGTGAAGTGAAGCCTCTGCGCCTGCGCAGTGCCGTCAAGAGTGCCACCGCAGCTGCGTGACGTCAGGGCCGCGTGTTGGTCTATAACTAAGATATCGTCATAGTAATCAGAAATATAAACAAGGGGTGGAAATATGTACCATAACAAGGTTCTCATTAAAAAAAACTGCAGCGCTCTTTTTCATTTATTTTCCGCAGTTGAGAGAAACTGCCTTCCAGGTTAACACTGAACAGATGAAGCGACAGCAGCTTGACCACCTCATCAGGGAGAGCAGACCAGAGAGGAAAATGAGTTTTCCAAAACAGAATGATGTATACAGGCACACTTTTCTAAATGGCGTGGCACTCATACTGTGAGTACCCTATTCCGAAATTCAACAGCATCTCCTTATGCGCCACAATGAAGAATAGCACATGCTCAAGATGCCGCGGAGTTTGCACATCCTGCTCAAGCTCGGAATATACCCGCTGCAAACCAAAAGGAAGTATGTAGATCATCAATTAACCACATTCTCCCAGGAATGGTTCAGCTCGGTCCTATGTGCCATTTTCAGGTAGCCCAAATCAAAATTCGATATTTATTGGTTTATGCCAAATTTCTCAAATTAAAATTAGCTGGCATTTATCAGTAGTAATAAAGATAAATACCAGCCTTCACAACTGAGCCAAAGGTGCCGGCGCAAGCTCGTAGCTTCAAAGCAAGTTTCTAGCAAATGAGCCCGAAAACCGAGTGCCATCGCCGCAGCTACTATACTCCGTTTCACCTTATGTTGTACCGCAACGAAGGCAAGAATCGCGAGCTCACAGCGTAGGCAGCTGCCTACGCTGTGAGCTCGCAGGAAAGGCTACAAGCTCGAGCTTGTAGCCTTTCCTGCGGTACATCATAAGGTGAAACAGAGTATAGCTGCAGTCTCGCCATGTACACGATACCGACAGTGGAGCACCTGCGATTGGCGGCAACCTTTCGTCCGGCTAAGGGCACGATAGCGAACACGGATATAGTACACACTTACCCTGCGCGACGCTGCTAGCGAAAACGCGATCTCGGCGTTTCTCCGCGCTCGTCCTCAAAGGCGAGTTAGCAGGCTTGCGCTAACAGCGTCGCGCAATGTACTACGCTAATCTCACGACCACTCGCATTCGTGCTTTCCTCTCAGAAACAAGCAGAAAAATATTTTAGTAACTGCGCTCACCTCTTTCCGTCGCCGTTTTTCCACGGCGCCGCTGTGCCGCTCTCGCTTGCGTTTTCGCGTGAAGAGCGATGGCACCACGTCAGGCTTCAAATAGGCCTGTTTTACAGGCAAGCCCAGACTTTGCAGCAACTTCGGGCTCGTCTTGTAGTCCTCGTCTTCGAAGTGCTCCGTGCAAAGACAATCGCCTTTGGCGGGCTTCCATGTTGGCTGGGAAGGACGGGCCGCGCGAATCCACAGCTTCCGCAACGTGGGCTCACTCGGAAACTTGTGCGCAGGCCTGCCGCTGTAACATACGCTGTTCGAGCAGTCTTGTGCAGCGCAGTACCGCGGCATAATTATTGAAGAAACTGGATCAGAATGAGGAACACTCGGCGCGGTTCTCCATTAGGACTGCAGCGGGACAACCGAGTCTGCCAAGGAGCGAGAGGTCTGTGACGTCAGTTCCGCTAGGGCTCCTCCGCGGTGGCGTCAATCGCGCCGGCGGCTTCCGGCCGACGGATTGCTCGAACGCGGCTCTTCAATCAAAGAAATATAATAATCCGATCACCATCCCTTGGTATGGTCTTGATTTTTAGGTATAGTAACGTCCCGGGCAGCTCGTCCGGGGCTTATTTTGAAAAGTTCAGATATCGGTTCAGTATCCCTTTAAAGGCGTACTCCGGCCGTTTTTCGAGCTACTTAAACAAATTGCATTTTCCGACTGCCCGGACTTCAGTCGTCACGGTATGCTATTTATTTTCTCGAAATTCAAAATAGCAATTGAGAAAACCGTAAATGAAGATGGTGCCCAAACCATCATTCAAATTTTCGCGCGCTCTTCAGTGGTATGACGTCACATATGTTACAGACTTTCAGGTCGTGTATGTAGTCTTAAACAGAGTATGCCGAGTGTTATTTGCGCGATTCTCAGTGAATCAGTTACCAAACATTCTTTTCCCACCATCAAACGTCTTGTAATCACTTGGGAACATGGCTTACTGCCCACTTTATACCATTTCTGTCGTCACACTTCAATGTGTCCAGTAGGGGCTCCCGATTCGAGAAACACGATGAAAACGAAATTCGAAAATTCAATAACTTCGCAAATTTTTTTCCTTTTCACACAAAACTTGGGGAACTCGTAGAGCCATGTCTATCGTAGTGTTGAGCCTATTTTGAGGCAAATCAGCGACCATGAAAAAATCGCCGGAGTACCCCCTTAAGAAAACACCAGTGTTGGACAAAATACTCCATAAAAGTATTTAAGTTACTAAATACCTGCTTCATAAAGTATTTAAACTACTACTGAAGTTACCTTCACTGTAAAGTATCTTGAGTAGAGTACAAATACTTAGAAATGTAATTCAATTCCTTTTGAAGATACTTCCGCATTGCGTAATTTGTATCAACGTCAGTGACAGCAACAATTATATAGTTGCACAAATCTGGTTTACCAGAATAGTTTATTAGCACGTAACAACACAAAACGAAAAAAAAAGAGCATCGTAGTGCTTCTTCATGCAGTCAAACTATTGGGGAGGAGAGCGAACAGTCACGCCTCTAGCGGTGCGCTTCAGCTGTGGGGTCGACAAACCGTATTTTCTTGTTTGTTTTTGATTCGAGAAATGGAAGATGACGATTCGAAGGCCGCTCCTGGCGCGACTGAAGCACTGGCAAGTCCAAAGCGCTCGTGCCCAGACCGCGCTCGGCGAGGTTCCATTTCTTTGTTATGCTGTGTTAGTAAACACCGGACTGTGAGGACAACAAGCTCGATGAAGCGACCCCTATAGTTCGTTCTCCTGACCAATAAGGAACAGGATATTGTCACAAATGGTGAGGCGGCGAATAACTGAAGAAACTAAATCTTTAATAGGGCGAACTTGTTCCCAGAGCCAAATAGAGAAAGGTTAGCGACGCAGGCGTCGATGTCGACGAAACAGCAAGATCGAGCGCTGGGACCAGACTGATTCCGGGCCGCCACGCGAAGCCTCTTTTGTACCCGCGTGGGTTTCTGGGACATTCGGCGTAGAACGCTCGGCGCGTAGAACATTCGTAACTCGACCACACGAGAAGGTTCTCGAACTCAGGAGAATGTCAAGTTGAAAGAACTAACAAAAGAGGAGTCCGCTTCCTGGAATCGAACCCAGAGGCTCCGTGCGAGAGCCAAGCGTGGCAACCATTCAGCCACGCCCTCGCTCGGCAACGCGTATGGCAATAGGGAGTATTCACTGGCGGCCATAGCTGTGTGCGCGAATGCTGAGCGCGTGCTGATGGCGCGCGCCTTTCCAAGGGAAGACCCCTGTCAGGGGGCCAACCCTGCAGTAGAGGGATAGTCGCCAGAACCTCCGTTGCAGCATAGAAGCTGGCAGGGCGTACCACGTGCAGGTGGAGTTCGACTTCCCTCGCGGCGTCCCACCACGGGGGCTTGCGCCCCAGCCCGTCTGACAGGGGTATTCGTCTCAGCTTGTATGTGCCACGTCTAAGCAACTTCGGCCTTCATTGTAGGATGGTGAACTAACTTTATTTTTCGGTCCACCTCAAATAATGGCAATATATAACGCCTTGAAGAGTCCGGTCTTGTAGGCCGGAACAGACAACCATTATCGACTTTTAATGGGCAATTGGTGGGCCAATAATGCGTTTCATTAGACTGTAGTGGTACTTTCAGTTCATGTAATACATGAGCTATAAAGTTTGGTAAAGCCAAGTTTAGGTTTCTAAGTGTAGCACGACATCACATTCGTTTAATGTTTTTGTTTCTTTCGAGAATAATTTACTTTTGAACCTGCACAAGTTTATGATACGTTTATAGCTGACCCTTTCGGGTATAATTATGCCAAGTAAACATTCCACACCGCACCCTCTTCACTATCAAATGCACCTAAATTAAATTGCAGAACAATCTTTTATCGACACTTAAAATTAGTAGCTTGAGAATTGAGATGTTTATTACATATTGACGGTGTACAGAAGGACGTGCATTTCGGCACCTTACATAACTCAAAAATTTTAAAATCTGTTTCATGGTATTTAATTTTCAGGTATTGTGCTACTGAAACAATGGTTCTAAACTATTGAAAATTAAAATTATACACTTGTCTGGTTTCTTCTTTTTAATGACTTTCTACGCTGTCTTAATGCGTTGAAGTAACTCATATATTTTATTCTTGGTCATACTTTCACTGGAACCGTTTTAGTAACTCTTGGTATTGTTTTTATGTTTGTTGTGTTGTTTTCGTAGGTTTGCTGTTCCACGCAAAAGTTTCATAACAAATGTTATAAGAATGCAAAAAGAATATTGCTGAAACGGCAAATAATATCTAGCTTAATTAATCCCTTCCATACGCCAAGGTGGCACGAATTGCAAGAAAAGGTTTGTGTTGAACCGCAAGAGAAAAAACAAAAAAAAACAAAAAAACAACGCAGTAAATTAGTATACTCAGAAAAATAATGCAAAATACTAAGTACCTTTCCTACACAGTATCTGCAAAGAGCGGATCATAGCTATCGTTGTCTGAACTAAGATGCGTGGAAAATATACATTTACATATTTATTTAATTTGCGCCCAAACCTCAAAGAGCACTGTAGGTGCGAGAAAACACTAAGCGCAACGTGGATTTTTTTTTTTTGGACTTTGTACCGACTCTTTCTTATTGAAATAAAAAAAAATCGACCGCTATAAAAAACATACCTAATCTGAATGGGTAGATAAATACGAGACTATTTGTAGCAATATCAGAAAAAGTATAGTACATACGTCCATCCAATAAGGACGTATCGACGATACTTTTTATGTTGCTACGAATTGCCTTTAAAGTAGAAGAACAAGAAACCGTGTTAATTTTATATTCGCACAGATAATTAGAAACTTTATATATTAATATATATATATATATATGAGCTATAATTAGTGCATAATCTTAGTCTTTCTCCAACAGGCGTAATCGTTGAATGAGAGTGCGACTGCTTCAAGGCGTTTTATTCTTTCCAAGAAATGTATCCCCGATGGACCCTTTTCAAGATCACAGCAAGCAACATTGGTGGTCACCGTTTCTCGGGCACGAAGTCTGTGATTGGATCCCAGTCCTCGCCGAATGCTGACACAACAATGGTTCTCAACACGAGCCGAACCAAGCCGAGCTCACACCGAACGCTGACGCCGTCATCGTGTCCAATACAGGCTCCGCGATACGAGCACAAGCAAAGGCGGATTCGGATAATCGGCAAAGCAGCTACTGAATGGAGCGCACTTCTAGAAGTGTGGGAAAGTTGGGCCCCACGTCATTAGTTTTCTTGTTTTAATAAGTTAAATAAAATAGTTAATAAAAGCACGTAACGTCTGAATTACTCAGCGAGTATAAATGACACCATCATGAACAGGAAAGCAAGCCTGGGTGTGGTCTTGGAAAACATATTATTCTTGTTGGTAATTGTCCTCTGTGGTCTCGAAACATCTCAAATCTATTCAGAAGCATTACGTAAGATATTGGTTGGATTTCTCGATGTTCATTATCACAAAATCCTTTAATTTGAATACGAAATAAATATGCAAAATACACCAGGCTTTCCAATAACCTCTGAGATCACGCCACATGGCTTGCAGGCACAATGCTCCAAGGGTGAGAGAGATACGTGTCTTCTGAGAGTTCATATAGGTTGTAAACTCGAGCCATCCGAACATAATGGAGATCAAACTACGCAGCGCGACGGTGGCATTGTTTGGTCCCCATATAGAATATTGTGCGCACTCTGGTCACATTGTGAAATTGTAAGATGATCCGTATACCCGCCACGTTCTTTTTCCGTGTTCTCAAAAGATTCACGAATTTACGGGACCTTATGGCGAGAGCCTCTGCCTAAAATAGCACGAAATGGCACTAAAACTGGTTACAGAAGCCCAGTAGCAGTGTGAAATAATACCGAGGCTGAATAAAACATCTTGAAAGTTCCTGTTTCGACGTGCACTGGAATATTACACCATTATTATGTCCTGTAATCCCTAGGAAGGGATACAGGTTAAATAACCCAGATATTTATCTGATTTAAAATTGAAAGAATAACCGATGCATTCACCTGAGATGGTACACCGTTGGCGCCCTTTCGGTGAAAAGTTTTCAGCTGAGCACCAAATTCCGAGAGGGCGCAGGTTTCGGGATATTTCTGTAGGAGCATTATTTATACCTTTGTGGACTTTCTGCACCTTGAGAATTTCCGCTAAAATAGTTATCGTAATGTTTCTATGATACCAGTAGAATATTCACAAAAATATATAGAATATAGTGTCTGCCCTGTTCTATCGGCGCCGCCATGCATGTTTAAGCGGACGCCATAACACAGTAAAAGAGGGGGGAGGGGGGGGGGGGGTAAACTCGCTAGATGGGAGCTTTCTACAAGTAACGGCATTTTTTAAGCGCCGACTGCGTGACGGTGCAGGTTTTTAGGAAGTGAATGGCT